TTTCACAGTCAAGGAAGGGTGAGGTGGGTGGATCTGGGTTTTGATTTTAGACGCTCCGAGATGCATTCTGCAAAATTCCTTGACTGTGAAAATTTAGATTCAGCATATATTCAGTATATATATATATATATATATATATATATATATAAATATACATAATATATATATACCCCCCCCACCTCCCCGTTACTTTTCTGAAGTGCCGCGCTGAGGCTACGCAGTGAGTAAAATTTTGCCATTTGAAAAATATCTCCCAGCCCAAGGGCTAGTAGATTTTACAGGTCACTAGCCCTGCTGGCTAGTGAACATTTTAGGTTAGTTTCAAGCCCTGACATCGGTAGGTGCGGTGCCGGTGCGGTTAATTTCCTGAATTACCGATTTTTTTGGCGATTACTTAGCATTGACAATGACATGTCAAAGCTATTTTCAGGTTTTCGTTAGACTTGCCAAGGTACATTTTCAGTTTCGTGTTGCCAGAATAACACGCGAACCGCTAATTTGTTGCATTAACTAGTACATAATACTGATAGCTATCCTAATAGCAGCTTGTGATAACATTTATACGGGAAATCGACCACACCAGCGAAAAATTACCTTCGCTTTATTTACCAACATCAGCGCCACCTTTTGGCAATTTAATAAAACATGTTTTTTTCTGATGTGAGCTACGTTATTATTTTAGCAAAAGTACGTCATTTTCGCTATATCGCTTATTTTCAACATATAATAAAATGTTAGTTCACGTAATTTTATCCCACCAATTATTCACATTTTAGTGTAAGGTGGGTGGGAGGTCCTATAAGGTATTTACATCTACATCTACAAGTTATCTTAAAAAGGGTCGTAGCTAGACTCATAATAGTAATATCACTCAAGTCGTCAGTGGAGACGTCATGTAAATGTGCTGTTGGATTATGGTAGTGAGAAGAAAGAGACCAAGTTATTTTTGAAGAGTTCGTAGTCTCCCATTTCTAGTAGCCTTGATGGTAGTTCATTCCAATCCTTGATGGTTTTTGTAAAGAAGCTGTGCTTGCATTGGTTGTCATTAGGTCTGAGTTGAATGTAGCCAGATGTAGCGCATCGGATGGTAGTTCCTTGTCAGTGCACTCTGATGTTGGACGTAGGATGGTATTTTAATTTCGACGGTTTCGTATATAGCTTTGCGAAGAAGAAGTAGTCTCGCCGTCTTTCGGCACTGCTGTAGGGTCGTATGATATTAGGACCATTTTATGATTGCACGTATAGCAGGCCGTACAGGCGTACATTTCTAGCACGTATATATACAGAGATACGTAACCTAACTCACTTTCAAAATTTCAGGATTCGTTCTTGAATTGCATTGTCACAAGACGCGCACGCGATAAAACGTACGCCATAGAGAAATGTGCGACACAATGACCTAGCTAGCTAGCAATATATATATAGACGCATATTATAACAAAAAAACAAACATTACTAAACATTAAACGCGCGACGAATGAGAGTTAAAACTCGCGCGCGCGTGTGATGTAATAAACCCACACGAATCGTTTAAAGCCGCACAATGCGCATCCAAACGCTAATTTCTTCAGTACTAGACTAGCAAATACTTCGTGTCATGCATAATCATACTACCTTATGGCAAAATAAACTCTAGTTCCTCCCATTT